CTCACGGATTTATCACTGCGTCATATTCGCCTTAATCTGCACCACTCATCGGAAGGACCAGAGGTGCACATACATAGAGAGCAGGCTACCAACTATCCGTACCTACGCGCAACATTCACTTCAATGCTACTGCGATGACCTATCAGAAGGATATGGTGAAAATCAAGGGGCATTCCCATTTCGACCAGGATGATATTACCGCGCGGGTTTAAAATGCAGCTGTTGCCAACCTACACCCATACTCCTTAAGTTCACACAGTTGCTCCCGGCACGTACTAGGTTCCGCGAAGCGTTCCGTCTTCAATAAGTTCTTCGTCAAGTTTGCTCCAGAAAACCGCTGGAGAAAATTGTAGCATTTTTGAGACCGATAAAGCTACCTTATGGTTAACATGGAGATGCCTTGCGATTATCGTGTCGCAAGTGTCGACCACGTTAACAGAACGCCTCCGCACCTTCGACCGTCAGTCAAACAATCATATGAGAAGGGCGAGACGAAAGGTGTTGATGTTGAGAACAGAGAACACCAAGACGTTTCCCTTCGGGTGACCACAATTCAAGTGGCAGGGATGGTCGCAGACTTTAGAGTAAATCGAAGGCGCAACTGAACCTGCCACAATCAAAACCCGACCCAAAGCTTGCGTGCCAAGCGTCAGGTCGATTTTCAAACGCGCCGACAAGCGTCACGTACTGAGCCGGTTGACCTGGCAGCAAACTAGTCAGTCGGTCATCATGGCTTCGGGGTTAGACCTCAGCTATGGTTATGACTAGCCGTAGAGTCCAAAACGAAATCAGAAACGGTAGCGGAGTGCAGAGCTGCGGTATCGTAAGTCTAGTTCAGACACCGTCTTGATTGGAATCACATGACACAATCATAGAGTGCCTCGAATCAAAAATGAGCTCACCGCCACGATAGGCGGATATGGCAAAAGCTCCCTATGATAAAGATAGATGGCACAATTTTTGTACGCTGCTTATACAAATTCCTCTTCTGCGCAAAAACCTAAGATGAACAAGGCCTCCGAGATAGATGGACTATCGGCGGTAGCGAGTGCGATGTAAGAACGTCCTTGAGTGTGTAAAGTAACTTCCTTCAGACTGGACACCATACAGAGGCTGATTCGTAAAGTTTCATTTTATACGAAACCAGAGATGGAGTTTGGGCATTTGGCTTAAGCAGCGCACTCTGAATATCAGTTATGAGATGTTTCAAGTTTGAACTGTGTAGGAGTAATATAGCTACTTGGACGCAACCACGAAGTGGTCACGCTCATCTGCTCGATTATGTCATCGTACGCCAGCAAAGTGCGCATGATACGTGTACTGCGTGTGGCACCGAACCCAAGTTGGTGGGGACCAAATCGTACATATACGGTGTTCATAAAGAAACCGAACTTTGAAATACCGCGGTACCGGCAGAGGGAGCGCACTGCGGCTACTGAGCTCATGTAGAGGCGTGTTTAGTCAATAAACTGCTATGTAGCGCATTTCGCCCGGACTGCTGGTTGCGAGTCACAGCCGCTGAAGTAAGCATGTGTACAAGCTGTTCGTCGGATTAGTGCCAAAGAGAGCACTAAAGAGTTTGAAGGACAATGCGTGTGTGTGAAATTTTGCTACAAACTTGGCAGTGCTATACCTGGTTTAAGTGTTTTGAACACGGCAAAATGTCGGTCTGTGATGATCCCAATCCTGGACGACTTTCCACATCTACAAACGATAACCATGCCGAGAGAATACTTGGTGTGATCCATGGAAATCAACAGTCAAATTTTTGAGAAGTTTCTGACGACGTGGGCATCTGCGTGGGATCATGCCATCAAAGTACAGTGCGTTTGAGGGATTCTGTGCGCAGGAAGAAGCCTGAACTGCGAGAAAACCAGACTTGCATGTTGCATCATGACAATGGGATGGCTCACGCATCGCTTCTTGTCCGTAGCTACCTAGTAAAACATCACACTCCCGTCGTGCCCCATCCACCGTATTATCCGGACATAGCCACTGCAGACTATTTCCTGTTTCCAAAACTTAAAACCACCTTGGAAGGTCGTTCCCAAACCATAGAGGAGATTCAGGATATTGCGACAGTAGACCTGCGCGCCATCCCAGAAAACGCGTGTCAGGAGGCTATCCAAAAACGGAAGCACTGTTGGGTACTGTATATTGCCAGTAGGGGGACTAGTTTGAGGGGGAAAGTGCCTAAAATCTTGTGCACACAGCAATAAAGATACTTTAGTAAAAGTTCGGTTTCTTTTTGAACACCTCGTATTTTAGTAAATCTATGTATTGCTCAACTGCCGTGTATCAGCAGTGCATATTTAATGTTCTTTCCCTAGAGAGTGTTAAGAAGAGGGCGGAGCTGGAGTAGGCAATGGGTATCTGTCTTGGCAATGTCGAATCCATAGTCTTAACGAGCAACCTGTGGCACCAAGCTCGTGAGAAAGTGACGGTTGCGGACGAGCAAACCATCGGGCCCGCAAACTGCAAGCGAATCGATTGGACCGGTGACAACAGTGCGACGATTGGTGCATATTTATCGGAGAAGAATGCCGCATACATTGCAGCCGTGACGGACCCTGGTAACCGCGAGTCATTTTCGTAAGCTCCGACTGCGATTGACTCGAGAGCCCCGTCGCATCAAGAATGTATGGTGGACGGAGAAAGCGAAGCAGATGGAATGCTACGCCGAACGTCGCCAACCTAAGGAATCCTTTGACCCATTGAAGGCGGTGTATGAATCCCCTTTGCAGCCGCTGAGGACGTTGCTGGATCCTATTTCAGGCGTTGCCTGCACACAGACTGCAGAACTAATGCAGATCTGACGAAATCACTCTGATTGTCTCTTGAACAACCATTCAGAGCTCGACTGGCCTACATTGAACGGCCTCAAGCAGTACGAGGTGAAGATGAGTCTGGCGGACAAACCGACACTGGATGAGACGCAGAGCGCTTGCTCGGCTGCGAAATGGCAGTGGTGTCGGTGCCGACGGGATCCCGCCTGAAGTACTGAAACACGGCGGACCCACGTTGGTAAATGCGCTACACCAATTGGTGTAAGGCGTGTAGATGGAAGAGGAAATGCCGGCTAAGCTGAAGGATGCCCTTGTGCTACCACTGTACAAGGGCAAAGGGAGTAAGGAATGTGCCATGAATCATCGCGGCATCAACTTGCAAAGTCGTATGGGGAAGGTGATTGCGTGAATCCTGTTCAACCGCTTAGCCACAGGTCGTTGAACCGCACGTGGCGGAAGTGCAATGCAGATTCCGTTCGGGTCGCAGCAAATTAAATCTGGTGTTCGTGGCTCGCCAGTTGCAGGAGTAATGTCGAGAGTGACCCCAGCCATTGTAGTCGCCGTTTGTTGAGTTCACCAATGCATTTGACACGGTTAACTACAAGGCACTGTGGCCGGTGTTGGGTAAGTTTGGTTGTTCGACTAAGTGTCTGCGAAGGATTCTGCACATCTGTTGATGCTATAGTGTTGCAAACACGGAAGTGCTGCGCCGCGGTGGACTGCTGCGGTGGCTGGGGCATTTCAGCCGAATGAGTTCGACCCGGATACCCAAACAGCTATTGTACGGCCGACTTAGTGCAAGGAAGCAGCACGTGAGACAACCGAAATTACATTAGCAGGACATGTTCAAGGTGAGTTTATTATTTTATTATTATACACGTCAGCTAGAGGTGGGAAACACCTCAGCTACTGTGCCGCAATACACAAATGAAAAAATCAAGCTGAGTTTACCCCAAACTAATGATTTCAAGTGTTGGGAATCAAAAGAAGTTAACCAGCACAAATGATGTGGGCTGATCAAGAGGGCGGTAGCCTAGGTGCAGCAGAAATCACTGTTACATGCAGGGGAGAAACGCCGGGTACGGAAACGACAGGCGCCAATGAAGTCTACCACTTCGACATCGAGCGTATGGTGCTGTAGCACATGCGGTCGCGAGTACCTGAGCCAAGTGGGCCTGGTAGGCCATCACCGTGGCCATGTGGGAATAGCATGCAAAAAAGGAGCGAACTGATTATCTAAGCACAATCAGTGCAACGATTGATAGGTGCGCTGTGTCCGCTCGATTTGCTAACTTAGGCCAATCAAGCGGTCGATTTAGTACTTGTGGTCGGTGCCATAAAGCATTGTGCGTCAAGAAACCCAAGATAACCTCCGCGTAGCAGGAGTGAGCACAATTGAAGTTCGGAGGAAAAGAGTCAGAGTATAAATAAGGTCTGTAAGGTTGTGATATTTCGTAGAGTTCTCGAGTATCCAGTGAGTAAGATGCGACCAGACTGCGACGCACAGAGGCAGTTGGTACTCGGACCTTGGGGTTAAAGTGAACAGAGCCAAAGACGTATTTGATGAAGGAAAATAGCGAACAAAAACTGTCTGAATATTCGAGCAAGGGAGACTGGTATCACGGCCACAATATAGTGCGGTTGGCCACATCAGCAAGACTAGCCAAGGAGCGCCAATTTTAGGGCATTGGTGATACGTTCCGGAGTGGGGTACTGGCATCGTATAGGGGAAAACCGTTCTCATATGGATGGAATAGTTATACAGCAGGGCCGGTAAGCATTGTGAAGGCTACGTAAAGCGAGCGCTTTACTGAATAACTTGTTTATGCACCAGGCCCACTATACGAAGCACATAATCAAACGTGAGTACAAAAAGTCTTTGTGGCGAAAGAAGTAGCTTCGGCTACAATAATAATGTTGATCAGATGTTGGAGCAGTAAACCAGTCTGTGGGATCGGTAGAGTGCATCATAGAACGTACAGACAAACTATGAACCGAAAGAAGTCAGTAGAAGAAACACGCGATCGGTTTATGAAAGAGACACAAACAGCAGCACAGAAAAAGTCAGTCAGTCAGTAGCAGCGAGGTGACCGCATTTATGATAAGATGAACCACATATGTGTGTGTAATGGAAAGAATTAAGCACAATACAGTGATGGAATAAAATCGTATGAGTACTCGCTCGTCAAAGTGGGGTCGATTTACAAACAGAAATCAGCTGGAGAAATCGGAAATGAAACGACGCAGACTACGTGGTGGAGGTCCCAGAAGAACGATTGCCAAGCGAGGAGGCAACCAATCCAGAACTGTTGATTGCGGTTTAGGAAATGAGAATGAAGTAGTCTGAAATTGAAAAAAAAGACAAACCGCTCTATCGCTGCAAACAATGTTGTATGATAGAAATTGGACAATGGGTATAGGCCGCCGCGATTATTCACCTCTCCTCACTCTGGAAAGGGTGAATAAATGCACGCACGAAGTTCAGTCCCTAACGAACTTGGCAGAATTACGAATGTTGTGGACAAACTAGTCCTGTAAAAGTTGGCAACCACTAACCAATGGAAATAGACCATCGATGCGTGCAGGATCGTGTCTCGTGGCAAACCGCGCCCACTAAGTGGTTCACAATATAAAGTGATCCGAAAGAGAGGAGTAGATGAATTGTGTCAACCACGGTGTATAACGTAGCGGGAAGTAGGTAAAACATATAACCGGCTTGAAAAGTTGGGGGGGAGGTGAAGGAACAAGGAAAAGGCGATGGCTGTTACCACTGATGTAACAGCTTGTTGAATGAGACGAGGTCCAAGTAGTTGGACAAGAATGCGCGACACATCAGCGGTACTTATGTAGTGGAATATGATGTTGGGGTGGGACAGGGGACAAGTGCACAGGTTAAATCGGGTAGCCCATCACTATGAAACCGGGTTCCGAAGAAAACCGCTCGGGTCTCCGAGGAACTCGAATACTACGAACAAATGTTGGGATGTAGCAGTACTACATACCTGTAAACCGGTTGTCTCGGTATGGGATGAGTGCTATTACCGATGAGACTACTTAAGGACATGGCATTGTCATGAAGAAGTCGGACGAACGTTATTATGGACAGCTAGGAATTGTAAAACTCACGAAACTAGCAGAAATACAGGGACGTACCTCAAGACAGGGTGACAACGAGGTTTCCGGATTGGATGAAAGAAAATCAGCATGCACTAGGGAGGGAGGAATGAACAGGACAGGATGGGGGAACAAGTCACGTATCAATGGACAATCGAGTGTTTCACTTCCTCCGCATCTAAATCGCCACCGTTTGTTAGCTCATGTGGGTGTCCGTTTGTCAATTCCATGCCGCCTAGTTTGGTTGTCACCGCTTCGTCGTCAGGGTGATTCACGTTGGACTGGGCTTCTGTTGTCCGGGGACGCTCCTCCATATCTGTACAGGAATGATCCATGTCCACAGACTTATCGACAGCCTGTGTTCAAAACGAACGGGCAAAAAGATCAAAGGAGATGGTGAAAGACCAATAAAAGTCGGTTCACAGGGAGAGTAAGAAGTAGTGTGCAGCTAGGGTCTATCTGGAGCAATGAAGGACCAATAAACCCAAAGACGGTGAATCAAGAGTGGATTAACATGCCGTGAATTGTAAACGACGGCAACAAATAGGTTTTCATCGGTGCAGCGGAGACTATATATAGGCATGTCAGAGAGGACTGGTAGATGCTCTTTTCCATTAATAGGCGAACACACTTAACTGGTCGGCTGAGGTGGTTAAGTTACATACGATACATCGCTAAACGAATTTGAAACATGAGAAGTCGGACTCATGTGTGGGAGACAATTGAAGGAGAAGAAATAACGATCCAAGTGGAACAAACGGAAGCAGCTTCCAAGTCCTGAACAAGCACAGCGTTGGCGCCTGTCCTGCAATGAGAGTGCGAAGGGGATGAAACCCTACGGTACATCAACATCGGTGCTTATTGCAGTGCCAAGTAAAATATTGTGGGAAAGGAGACAATCAATAAACCGATCCGGTTGATTCTCTTGATGAATTAATGCGATTGACTTCGCAACACTTCGTTGGGCTGTGGAAAAAGGAAGATTGCAATTTCTCCCAAAGACAGTGACGAAAACGGGGTAGGAAAGCGACTACACACTATTCGAAGAGAAACACCGTTTCGATGGGAAGGTCACATATGAGCAAGTGATGGCTGCGCCTATATTTAGAAATGAAGTTAACGCGCAACTTCGGCACAGTTGTTGCGATGAACACCGCGCGGAAAGTTAAGCTGTTACAGAGGAACATCCTGAATGTATTCGTGATGCGGCGTCCCCGTGCACTAATCAACCAGTTATTTCCGTGACAGAAAAATAACGGGTAAACAATGGGTCGATGGCAGTTGATACAAATTCCAAGCGTGTCATGGGTAAAGGTGAGCAAAGTAGCCGAATAAGTCATTATCCGATCAAAACAAAGCAAACATGATTATGAAACAGAAAATCTGAAAAACAGACGAAGTCGGCAGATTGGGTAGATGAATAGATAAACAGCCGAAAATGAGCGTGGAAATATAGAAGGTTGAACAGCGAAATGCAACGATAAATTACAAGTGGGACGTGCATGGCACAGAAGTAGGGTAGGACGGCGGCTACGTTACTTGCACGGTAGTAAAGACGCGCTGTTGCGTGATCTGGTAATGGAAGAAATGGCCAAAGAGCTGGATCGATAACAATAAGAACACGAAAAGCAGCAAATGTTTGATATACTTCTGAAAGCAAAGTAGAAAAGCATTTGTTGTTGGCATGCGTTCGCTTAGGTGATCATCATCATCATCATCATCAACAGCAGTACATCAGCCATTTGAACTGATGCTTCGCTGCCATACAACCATGAGGACCTATGAAATAAAGAATAAGAAGAGGGAGAGAAGGGGGACTTACCTGAAAACCTCAATGCCCTAAGCAAACATTCAGGGTCAAGGCACCTAGGCCTTGTGTTGACAACATTCCGTCACAAACAGCTGGCTATCGTGCAAAGATAAGGCGGCATCGGCGAGACAGCTTCCTTGCGGCTTTCACTGCCACGCGTCATAATCAGCCATTACCCCGCAGATAACTCAGCACCAAACACACTTTAAACAGACAATCCGATTAGGAGACGGCAGCAGACGCGCCACTGGTGTCTACTGCGAGCCATGTCCTGTAAAGTCTCGAGCCAAGCACAAGGTGAGTCACGTGGACTCCAACCCGGAAGGCGAGACGGACCAACGGCACCCAATTTGGTCGTCAGTGACTTCATTTCCCACTGCCAAGTCAACTTCTGTCCACCTCGAGCCTTGCGCCATCCGACACCTGGTAGACTGAACAAGGCCCTCCCAGGTAAGCGGTGACCAGGCATGCGCAGCACGTGCCCAAGCCAACGCAACTTATTCAGTGCTATCTGTTGTTCTAGGGAGCTAGCATGATTATCACCACCTAGTACTCGCCTATGCACATCATCGTTGCGGACAGGCTGGTGCCATCCGACACCAGCAATGCTTCGCAAACAACGATGATCAAAGACTTGAAGGCGCCTCAGATCTTCAGACCGAAGGGGCCAAGTTTCACTACCATAGAGCAGAACGGCCCTCACTGTGGCCTTGTATACACGACCTTTCAGACGGAGGGAAACTCCCTTCTGTCGCCAAAGATGACGCAGGTTCAAGAAGGCAGCTCTGGCCTTTGCAATGCGTGAGCTCACGTCAGTTTCTATGCGCCCATCATTGCTGATGCAGCTGCCAAGATAAGTGAATTGATAGGTGATACCCTTAAGTGATATGCTTTGCAACCGAGAGGCGGTGCCATTTCGCTAGCAAACAAACCAGTGTCTGAGTAGAAGTAAGACAAAGAACGAAGCCTCAATGGGGTGGGAGATTTGTGGATTGACAATAATCGGTCGTCCGAATTAGATGTGCGAGCAGGAGAATGGAAACAAATACTTGTGACCTCTAAGGACCCACCTCATCATCTCTGTGGTCGCCGTTTAACGAACAGGACTGGACCTCTGGCGGTGGCTCAGATAATGCTGGTTCGATTTCTTGGTGTGGTGTGTGTTCGGGAGCTGTGTCCGTGGAGGGCTGATGTTCCACAGGTTGCTCCGGCGGCACCTTCGTTTCAAAAAGGGAACAAAATACAGCTAATCATGAACATCAATGCAACAAAAATGTAGATTAAGAAAATGGTTGTGGTCTATGTAGTCCAGGAAAAGCGGCACCAAACCTCTTAGTCAATCCGAGGTACTAGAAGAGCTTCGGTGAGTCACAACCCTGGCAAGGGTTCATCGTAATAGCCCAAAGCCGCTTTGGCAGTTTGCCTCACCCGTGATGAAAAAGAGAGATGAGAGTAAATCATGTTCGTCGACTAATACTCTGACAAGTTGCTTTCAAACGTGGCGATCAAGCGTATGCACGGAGGAAGCAGCGAGATGGTTTGCGATGCACAGGTGAAGCGATTGGGAACTATGGACAGTGCGTGCAATTAAGTTCCTTTGAAGATGATCCAATATCTGTATAGAAACAACAGAATGATTCCGACTAGTGTAGTGAACATAAACGCCTGTACGCACTTCTTTATTGTGCTGATGTGCAAGCTAGTTTCCGTTACTATAAATAACCGGAAAAAGTAAATCATGGTGCGTGTAGGCCTAACACCACAATAGCCATAGACGGAAAACAGAACTGGAGAAAAATCTACCTGGGATTCCGCGCTCGTCCCTTCAGCTTTTGGACTGTTTTCGACAGCCTCTTCTGTTTGTGCGGTAATAGCCGACAACAGAACGTCGTCTACCAGAGAGATTGCTACCTCGGTTATTTCGGCCTGCTTCTCTGGGGTTTGATCTGAAGATGTCTGAGTGTCGGGAACAGCGAGACTATCTTCGGGTCTTTCGTGTACCGGAGTCTGAACGCCCTCCGGAACAGCTGCTTGGTCAGTGGTTGGTGGATTAGTCTCGCTACTCTTTTTGGAAAGACGACGTTTGATCCAACCCAGGGGGTTCTTATTTTTCTTCTTACCGTGGTCAGTTTCAGTGGCGCTGTCAGTTGATCCGAGAGTGCCATTCGCCACTGACTGATCACCATTAGGCGTGCTTTTTGCAGCCGGGTCTGTGGTGGGTTGGATATGCGAGCTTTCCTTCCATGAATCGGGCTGAATGGGCGGGATAAGGAAGATCAGTTAGTCAGGAGATGAGGATGCTGATTTTGGTCTCGAACAACAGGTGAGATTTGTGGGAGTTATTCTACAGATAAGGAGGTTAAGTACTGCGGAAATTCTTCATTGCCACAAAAAGTAAGCAAAGACAAATTCAAGTCCCTCGGTAGAAAATAAGCCTGCTGCGGGGGACGCTCGGATGACTAAGGTTAATCCAATCGCAAATAAAAAAACTGTAAATCGCATTCCGAAGTAAACGTTATCGATACGAGATGGCGACGATGCTGATATAACAGGCAGCTGACAAAATTGGTTAAGTTTCTAACTTCTGAGCTGGAAATGAGGTAGATAGGTTACAAATGCAGAGCAAGCTAAGCAAGCGGGATGTAGTGAACTCATCCCTAAGTGCGTGCAGTACAACAGCTGTGTTTCACACTAGCTAGCGTGTAGAATGATGAGTGATGACGCCTTCGGTTGCACTAACTGCACACATGCACTTAACCGACTTGATCAAACACAATGAGGGGCCGTGGGGGAAAATGCAATGAAGCGAAGGTGGATAGCCAGACCAATAATGATTAGACTTGATCATGTCACATGACACTCGTATCACACGGGCAGTTGATGGTGGGACAACTAATGGGGTTCAATTTGATCAGAAAAATGGTAAAATATAGCGGAACGCACATACCTCCTCAAACGGTTCGTCTATAGGTGGAACATTGCACATGGCATTTGCATCGCCGTTGACTAGCTGTCATGCAGGACGTTAACGTACGCAATGAAGAACGGGGGAACACAACAAAGAGACGATGGGATATCGGTGCACAAATTGGGGGCATGCAGTGAGAATCGCAATAGGAGAGGTGATTCTAAGGAAGCCAACTCCACCAGTACAAGTTGGGATGTGAGAAATGGCACAAGTCAAACGATGGATCCTTAATTCAAAAGTCAGTTTAATACAGCAAGAAGTTTGATCGACAGCGAAGTGTATGCCGGCAAGCTTCATTCAAAGGTATGACAGTGCAGTTAGCTGCTGGTTTAACCCATGTCTTCATGCAAAGAAACAGCGAATTGTTAGGTGGTTGTGGGAAAATTGGACTAACAATAGTATCCTGGGGAGAGAGGATATGATGTAAGGGTTGAAAACATGGTGTCGACTATACTGACGTATGCATTCGACGTGGCGCTCAAGTGGCCTACGATGCGAGCCAAAAGTAAGAAGTCCATTGGTCACCTGCGTCCGACGACAGCCATATTTATCCTTTCCACACCGGCGACTGTGCTGGCAGATGAGGACCGATGCAAGCGTAAACACGCACAGTAAGGGTCAGAGTGGCGAGACTGAATTCACCAGTCTGGCGTGTTAAAAAGTAACGCCCGACCCGATCACTCAAAGTAAGTGCGACTTTTTGGCACACATGAGCATGATTAGCACGCAGACTGTCAAACATTTGGCCTTGCAGACGCCGCGACCGGGCGGTACAGCATAGTGGAAAGGCTGGTGAAGCTGTCACACAAGTAGACGGAGCTGGTTGAACCCTAGATGCACACTGGGTGTCTATTCGTGTAACACCGACAACAGAGTAGCTACTCCAGCTGGATGGACGCTCAGGGCGATCGCAAGTGGTTGCTGAATGAACAACTAACACAATGCCGGGAAGCAAAGTGCGGATTGTGGTGACGAGAGTACGCCAATTTAGCCGACTCGGGGGCGAGATGCGGATTAATAGGATGCTACGTAATGATTCGTGATACCACTTCGGGGATCCGAAGAGCGGAGGGAATGGGGCACAAACAGTATGCTCGCTACATCGTGTTCACTTTGGTGTGTAACTGTGGGCACCCGGAGTGCAGTTAGTCGCTGATAATAAGAGCTCAGACCACGCTTCGCGTACGTGCCGAGGTCGTTGGGACGCTCAATTAGGTTCCAGACAAAATGCGAGTTTTTGACCGGAGTAGCTATCGTGTTACCGTACTAGTCTTTGTACAGTGCATTCATGGAAGTTTGAAGGATGGAGAAAAGTCTCTCCCAAGCTCCAGTGCGGGCGTCGAACAGGCAAGCGCGATTGAAACGGTGCATGGACAGTCGAACCATCAACTCGTAGGCCAATACTAGACATCAAGTAAACCTGGGATGAGCGTTGCCGTTCAATGTATGGACACTATGGGTGTAATGGTACGCCCAGACATATTGACAGGATCCAGGGCGCATCATAAAAAACAATGGCACCTTAACACTGTGCTGATATTCTTTGCAGAGACCAGTTATATAAGGTGCTACTGAAGAGGTTGGATGCAATTAATCCCACAGACGAAACGACCACAACAAAACAAAAAGCTAACAAGTAGAAAAACTGCTTTTCCCAGCGTACATGCCTTTTCAGGGCGGTGGTCTGCCCGAGCCTGTCTATTGAGGATGGTTTTGCAAATATGCATCTGGATAAAGCGTCATAATTATTACCATTACGTAGTGAGCTGGCCTACTGTAGTTCAGATCGCATCGAGATAAATAACTGGGTTGTGCGACGATAAAGTTTTGATGGAGATGTTTAGTGAGATGCATCAAGAACACGAAATGAATACACCAGAAAGGAAGAGCCGATGTGTTCCCATCTGAAAGCAAAAAACGCCTGGAACATAAACCTTACCGTGCACCCGTCATCCAAAGTAACTCCACATGCAAACGTGTGCGAGACAAAGCAAAAAATACGGGTCGAACTGATGATGGTCACGAGGGACATTAAAAAATGGGTAAGATGAGCAAACAAATGGTGTGAGCCCTATTTATTGCTGCTGTTGCCGGCAAACGGGGTGCACAAGCGGCGGTGAGGTAACAAGGAGTGCGAGTTCAAACCAAGAACACGTGGAATGTACTTGAAACGTACTTGAGAAGCGGTTTCTTTTGCCGGTTCAGCACGAGGTGGCTCAGAGGCCTACAAGGTAAAAGCAGACGTCAAACAATAGCCCACTCTAGAGCGAACAAGCAGGTAGTAAAATTAAATTCCTTTAGGTGGGCGGTGTGAAACCGGGAAAACAGTAAAAAATTTTATCCGACAGGAAGTGCGAGCTGACAGTACGAAGTCCCTCAAAGCCAATTCTCACAACAATGCGGTGTGAAAAAGAATATGATGCATTTTCTTGCAGTCTTCAAAACAGCAGCACAGTTTGAGTCCGCCAATGATACGCCGAGCTGGACGTTAACCAGCGGTGGCATTAGCATAATTGGAATTGAGGGGCAGTCGTGCGAACACACGAAGAAAAAAGTTTTAAACCAGCTACCAGATCGAGTCAATTTAAGTGGAGGAAAAAGAGAATGAAATCTGTCCCAATGGAGCTGTGCAAAAATAATAAGTGATGCGATGGATAGCAGCATTTGTGTACCAATTGTCAGTTGATGTGCAACACACGGAAAGAGAATGGGTACACACAAACAACCAGCAGTCGAATTAAGACAAGCATGAGTCAGAATCGGGACAGCTGTCAATATCTCGGCATGCAACATAGTTCACTTCCACCATGTAAACAAGTACAGGCAGCGGAAATGGCGCTAGCAACTATGTGCGACATTCAGCCAAACTCGAACGTATGGGGAAACGGTTCGGCGATGAACGATGGACCACTAGCCAATGCGGTCATTATTGACGCTGCATCAATTTGTGGCAGTGATTGGTTGTATGGGAATCGATTAAGCCAGCCAAGATCTCAACAAGACGATCAGTGAGTTGGTGATGGAAGCTTCGGCTGCGGGGAACAATCACGTTCCCCGAAATGCAGTAACGTGCATGACAGCGGGGAATAAATCGCACCGTAACATGGTGCTTGTCGTTGTTTATCACCCATTAACTTCGTCACCATTTTGCAAAAAAGGGCCGTGGACTTCGGTGAGTCCCAAAAGGTCCAAATAGCCGTGCAGCGCTTTTCCGAGTGTGAGCGATGGACCGTTATGAAAAATCAACGAATCTCGACCCAACGAGCGGTAGATCTACATATAACACATGCCACTGATAATAGCTGGAGCTATGTGAGACTAACAGATGGCATCTGCCGGAATTGGTACGTAGCAGATGCATAAAGAACACAGTTACATACACATCACGTGGCATAAAATAGCAGCATATTAGACCCTAATAATAGCTGTTCTGTAAACAATCGCTTTGTACTGCAGAACCAGGGTTCGATGCAGAAGCAGGTACTCGTGAAAGTGGCTCTGGTCGACTGCGAGGAAACCGATCGAGACTAACAGTCATAATAGCGACTACACAGCCAGTGCGGACTGCTTGCGGGGGGTAGTAGAACCACCTACTATACAGACAGTAAAGCACAGCGGAGCCAACGACTAAGCAGAGTAGCCAAAACTTCGGAAATAGCTGAATCTCCTAGCAAGCTGACAATGCGAGATGAGCACATACAACGGTGGTAGATTTGTATAGAAAAGTGGTTAAAGTAATCGGCCAAGGAGCGGAAGTAGATGGAATCAGCGAAATGAGGTCAACACTTAAGTTTTAGTGTACACAACGAAAACGGTAATTCAATGCAGATCCACTTGCATTGCACGAATTTTCAAGGAAAAGTAAAATCCAATTCGAAAGTAAAATAAATATGAGCAGTGCGGAGGGGAGAAAATGTTATCTCCATGGTTAATTTCGCTGTATATAGCAGCTATGTAACGGATGAAACCTTACTACAGTCGAACTTGTCTAAGGCGAACACTCAAGGAACCGACAAAAAGTGGTCGCATTGGACAGGTAGTCACGATAGCAGAATGGACTGTAGTATATTCGCATGTTAATGATAACAGCAGTTAATTGCCCCGACACCAAGCAAAAGATGACAAAAACACCCAGGTGAAGCAAAACCAGTGGACTAGGTTGAAGGCTGGCTCGGCAATCAGTGTGTTCAGTGGCAAGTGTACAAACGGACCACAATAGTGATGTACAAAAACAGAAAAACCGTACTTAGAGCAGCAACAAAATGTATGGTTGATAGCAGCAGCAGGCGATGATAAACGAGCAAAGGATTGTAAGCATTTGGTATACAAAATATGGCAATCGCAAACCCCGGACTTCCACGTCCTGCTCAATTACCGTAGAAAAGAGCAGCGGGCGTTGCATGTGACTACATGTGACCGGGTCTATTACTGATGAAAAGGGCGAATAACAAGTGCACTTCATTGAAGTCCTGAGTACCGCAAGTTCTCGGGTATGGATGCACATACAGCAGAGCTCAAATTTATTGTGTACATTGCTTCCGGAGCGGCGATCCAGTGTTTGTTCGTGTTGTCGCGTTCGCCGTTTATACTACTACCCAGGCAGTCTGAGTGGGCCTTCAAACAACGCAACGCGCATGCGGACACTGTCAAAATCCAGTCGAAAGCATGGCGAGCTAGAGAAAATCCCGAAGTCACGCTGTCTAGTAGTTCAAACTTAAGGCGCACTATGGTAGTAGACAAAAATCCAGCGGTGTAAAGATGTAACTGATATAGCAACACCTGGTAGTGTTGAGAGAATAGAACCACTTTGCTGACCAGATTACAATTGGTACTCAGATACGCAATACAAAAAGGGCTAGAAAATAAGCTAATTGAATGTTAGTTACCAGGTCTAAGGAGTGAGAAAATGGGTTGACTTAACTATTTTTACATACCTAGCAGCCGAACTTCAAAAATCGGGCTTAAGCAGAATACGCAATTAAAGACCACGATAACCATAACTTACCGTATCAGCTTTGATCCTGTCTTCTACGGTAGGGAGAGTAAATTTTCCGAAAGAACCGCCCATGTCACAGCTACAAAAACGATCGGCAAAAACCACAAGCCGAGAGAAAGTGCCGCGTGGATAGCAGCGTCAGCTAGGACGACGACCAAGCGCGGGTGTCAAGGCCTTCACTCGCATGAGTCAGTGTCATTAGGCTGCCCACTGATTGGTCTGACGTGGCCGGGCTTAGCCAATGTGAACAAAAGCACCAAAGGGGTGAATCAGGTAGACCAATCAGATTGCAAATAAACTGAGCAAGGTCTCTGCGGCCAATGCACTAAGGCGGATTGGATCTTTGTTGTCTGGCCAGACAGCCACGGCGTGTAGCCTGTCTTACGCATCGTGCGCCATGCATGTCTCGGTGATCTCAACAGCCTCTGTCCATGACACGACGTGCGATTTTTGCGCCGCGTCCGTCGGGCTTACCCCACGGCGTTCGATCGCCGAAACTCCCATTTCCGTCCCAACTGCTTTTGTTTGCACAGACTGGCTTTGGAACGGCGACAATACGAGCATGAGTCTGTAGCAAAAGAATTACATCAAAGATTAATGAAAGACAGTAGAGGTGACATTCGGTTAACTAAAACTGAATTTTCCGAACCTAGCCGTAATACAATTTGAAATTATCACTAACTCCGATCACTAGATATCAATGCAAGGCACCACACGAACACCGGGAAAACACATGCAGTGGATCGAAACAAGAACGCGATACAAAACCTGGTGTGTGTGTGTGTGTATCGGTTCAAATACTTAGAAACTACAACCGTATTGGCAAACGAGGTAGAGAAGTACCGGCAGTTGACAAGCACTACAGGCCAATCGGGAACTTGGAACTAACAGGGGGCGGGAAGCGGCTTGGCTACCAACGTTCTACGGTCAACAAGGAGCGCATAAGAAATGAGTGGGAAAATGGGTGAGATTTCAAGGAATAAATCAATAGATTAAATGAATGACGAACAGGCATGTATTGTGTTTACATTGTGCATTGGCGAAAAGGGTACAGTTGGAGAATAGTGAGCATATTAAAATTGAATGGGAAGTGAGCAATAATGGACAAGCACGCAGATTACGGTGTAAAAATTGGTTACCTGTAAGAACAGGTACTTGCTAGTCATTTCTACTTCATTACTTGATCGCATAATTTGCTGCTGGTTCACTTAAACGCATGACCCACATGTTTTGGTTGCCATGCTGGTAGTAAAAGGATACATCTGAAGTCAGAGCTACGTCATTGCGCTCACTGGAGCAGTGGAACTTTCAGCCACATTGGTACTCTCCACAAAGACTAAGCGCCCATTAAGCTTCCATGAATATTGCCGCTCATGACGGTCAAATGCTATTTTAGGCTATCCTGTTTCATGCATTGACACATCGTCGATTGATCTTCACCCACACAAAACGACTGCGTAAGCGGGGGACAAGGTCGACCGAATCAGGCGCATGCATGACAGCATCAATTTCCTGCTACGTTATCTGGTCGTGGGAGTTGCAACTGTGACAGCCCGTAATGATCAATACTAGAGATAGTGCGAATACCGGCAAATCACCTATCCTACCATGCACAACTTCGTACGTAAAGGTTTTACGCAGTGGCACAAATCACTTGAGTGTCCGTTTAGAGCACTTGAACCACACACCCCGTACCATACAACACGGTGACACAGCGGATATACAGGGTGGGTGAAGCAGCCAACAAGATGTGATCTACTGCAGATTTAGTGATGCATTAGCAGTACCATAGCAGCACTCCCGTCCAGTGGCAAGCTGAACTCAACCGGAAAATGGGGGTCCGCTTTACAGCTTAGTCTGTCGCAAGGTGCATACGCATACGAAGCATCAGTCGCTCCTCTGCATGCAGCTCATGTAAGCTGGTGCGCCAAGATGAAAAACCCACCGGGCGAACGGTGTTTGAAAAGCGACAGGGTGGCATGCTTAGTAGTTCCAGGATCTACCGCTAGTACATTGTTATCTTTATAATCAATTAGCTTCGATCAAGGGAACACGTGTCTGCTTCATGAATGTTGCTTCGACGTTTATTTTCTGGTGCGTGTCAGGGTAATTCATATGCAGCTTACAGAAATGAGCTGTAATACTTTAAGACCTATCCTTACTGGAACATGTCAATTGTTTCAAATGTTGGTACCAACTAGTTATAGCGTATGCCACTAGTTATAGAACCAGATCGCGATACCTGATTGTCTTATGGGAGCAAATGTCACTCCGTTCCGGTATCCTATAATTATTAGGTGGACCAGCCGTTGTCAGGATACAAGCGAAGGCATGAACTTCAGCACAATACGAGATGGATCAATGGGGAAAACTTCAGATATGGGAACAAGAGGATGTCTACCTAACACTACTGTCACTGTATTCTATCTATTGGTTACCTTTTTTGACTGCTAACAGTAAGTAAGAGCACCTGTAGGTAACCGCAGACGTGTGAGAAACACGACAGGTGTGGAATCTAAGCGTCCAGGCTACTAAGACTTGTTAGCCGAAAGGGTTCGCTGTGAGTTAAGGTTAGGAACAAACGCACTAAGGAGAATTAGTCGGTTTGTGTGTATGCTGTTCAGGTTTAGATAACTGCTTAGTGAGTGCCATCGATTCTCGTTCGTTAAGCTGAACTTCGGAAGAGAAAGTGAATGGTGGAATACAGGAGAGTTGTTTCAGCATTCGCAAAAATGTGTTATCGCCTTTGTTCGCCGACTCTTTCCGGGTATAACCATTGACCGCAATGTAGCCAGTGAAATGTCTCACAACCAATTGTCCGCGAAATGGTATATGTTTATCTGTTAACATGGCAACGCGTTTGAAAAGGGGCGCATACATTGTTGGTCTTTCAGTGGTAGACGCTACAATTTGTAGTCACAGGCCAGCGTCTTTGAGTAGACTTACAGTAGACTTAGACGTGGTCGTTCTGTACATGTTACATACACAATGCTGCAGCGTCAGGGTGGACTGTGCTTTTACTACGGACGGAACCTGTGGCCAATGCGCCCGGGCAGAGGCAAAGACTAACAAATAAGGCACAGCCAGTCTAACTGTAACTGACAGTGAAAAACTCCACAGAAATCTAATCAACTCCTCTATCTAGCAAGGCCGGATTTTACGACGCTTGCACCAGTCTTTGTTGCTGCGATGATTGCTAGTTTCTCATTTCTGTGACCAGATCGCAGTTGGTTACTTCAATCAGAAAACTAGGAATGGAGGGCGCAGGTTTCACATCACTTAATTACGTTGCAGTGCGCTGCCAAAAGTGTTGAATGATAACACCAGTAGACAAACTTTTTGTTGGTATTGAGGATATAAATAAATTAATAACTAATCAAACCTTCCCTTGTTCTTCAAAGGCTAATGAGTTGTTCTCAACGTAGTTGTTTAAACAACCCCCTGTATTCTGTTACATTTATGGCGAATAAAGGGTAACAAATAAGAGAAAGGTATCACTGCGTTATAAGTCCCATATATTACGCTTACTTTGGTGTAAAACAAACAGGTCAGGAAAAGTCTCCATCTCCTCATAATATTCGCAAGTGCTGTGTCGAGTGTTGATGCAAGTGGACAACTAGTGCAATTGAGAGTTTGAGTTTTATTGTGCCTTTGGTGTGGAGAGAAGCGACAAGCCATCGTGATGATTGCATTTATATCCTGTTAATGTGAAAAGTTTCAACCGATACTGGATTACATACGTGGATTTAAACATGATTAACTTGTTGAGTGGACAGCAAAGTGGGAACGCTAAGTATTCTTGCTTCATTTGCTTAGAAGACAGTAGGCCTAAACAACATGATTGGTAGAAAGGGACTTAACCAACTAGGACAAACATGCATTTAGGCGCCGGGAACATTATCAGGAATCATTTGGTTCATAGAAAAAAGCATTATTCGTTTACCACTTCACATAAACTTGGGGCCGAGGAAACAAGTTATTAAGGCACTGGAAAAGCTAGCGCTAAGTTCAAGCACATATGTAAATTATTCCTTGAATTGAGTACGGAGAAACTGAAGGTTGGTAAGTATGATGGTTCTTACAATCGACAACTCATGAGAACCAACGACACGAAACTTAAACTAAGTACGTCGTACGAAACCCAAACTAGAAACTACGAACCAATAAACCTAGACTTAACGCACGGTCTGGGCAGAAGAATAAAACGAATTATCCTGTAACTGTGGTTCTATAAGGCAACTTAAATACAGTCCACGACTTACGAATAGGTTTTACAGTCGTTTGCGAGAGGGCAGCAATTGTAATGCATGCGACAATATGCGGAAAATAGGGTAGTAACCGAATAATATGTATGACCTTGAAACGTCAAGGAGATGTCAGTGATCGAGAGTGAAAGGAATACATGTTCAATATGGTAACCGATTGTAGCTCAAGGAGGGAAAGCAATGTAAAGTGGGCGGAATAATTAGGGAATAGGGATACTGTGTCCCCATGCAAAAAATCCAGGTTGGAGGTACATCATATTTCCTTTTGGACTTTACATAATTAACAATATCAACTTGATAACGTTTGATGATGATGATGATGTTGTTGGGATCTTTTTGGGTAGCCACAAAGCAAGCAACTAGAAAGAATCGGTGGAGGATGTGGTTGCAAAGTTCAAAATATTGGGTTGTAATATGTGCATAGCTTGACACTTTCTCCATATCGTCTTAGACAGCTTCCAGGACGATCTTGGTGATATTATCGAAGAACATGCTGAGAGGTTCCATCAGGGTATTAAGCTAACAGAAATGGAATATCAAGACAGGTGGGACCAACGTTAGATTGCGGATTATTGCTGGGGCATCCAATATGATAGTGCAAACAGCGTATTTTCTGAAACAAAATTCCTGACATTTACCAACAGAGTAGATTATTTTTTCGGGTATGGTGTATACAAGACAACTGGACATTGACTGTCTCTGCGTCTATAGTATAACAAACAAATTTCGTGTGATTTCTAGACTAAACCCTCTCTTGTTCTATAGACCATATCAAGCCTTGTAGTAGGTTCACGGTATCACACAATATGGAACCAATGCAACCAAACTGAAGCCAGATTCGAATTCAGTAACACGGAATTACCATAAACTCACCATATTATCATCTACACAAAAATCATTGTTGACCGGTGTAATCAACATTGCTATCCTTAGTAAGAAATGCGTCGTTAAACCTAGATCAACATTCCGAAGTTGGCATTTGAGTATGGAGAATGTATATTTCTCGACTGTGCGAGTTACCATCCAACTAGTTGGATTGATCGTAAGGTGCGACATGATCTCAAAGTGCACATATTATTTCAGATTTCCGGAAAAGTTCGACGTCAGGTTTAAGGGGAGTTCAATTGGCAAAATGGTAAAAAGAAGGAGAGTTTGAAAGTCGGATGAAAGTGGTTATTGACAAAAGCACAACAGAATTAATACGGCTATCCGTGGGACCGACTCCATTTGGGATCGGGAAAGCGACATCCAGCTGTGCCCCAGAAACCCCATACTATTGTCGATCGAAGCTCCGAATGGATTGGTAACTACCTTCGTGGACGGCAACCTACGATCCCTTCTGACATAAATACTTCCGAGAACTGGGGATAAGACTGGTTGATTTGGTTAGGTCTTCTGTCACTGTCCATGACAGCTAAATCGAGGGTGGACGCTACGGATTT